CCCCCCCCCCCCCCTGCTCGCCCTTCCAAGCGCCCCACTGAGAGAGGGTGGCACGGCGCTGGACCTGCTTTTCTTGCCTCCTAGTCACTAACACACACTGAACTTTCTTGCCAAATGGCCGGACGTTAAAAAAAATCCCCAACAAAACAACCACCAACCACCCCTGCTCGCCCTCTGCGTCCTCCTTGCGTCTGGCGCTTGTGGTTTTTGGCTTCCCGCCCGGATGCCTTCACGTGGTAGACTCCCTGGCAGACTCGGGCCTACTGCCATGCCCACCGGCAGCCGTCCCGCACCAGATGAGCATCCACTCCTTGACAACCCAGCTACCGCAGGGGGCCTTCCAGAAGCCATTGCACTTGTCCCAAATGCCGCCACCGATGCAGGCGTTCCCTTCGCAGGGCAGTCCTCATGCCCCTTTCCCCCCGGGCGTGCAGGCCCTCGCAGGAGGCTCTCAGCTCCAGCAGCAGACCCCCCTGCAGCACCTTTCTCGTCAGCAATCACATCAGCAGCAGACCATACATCACATGGTCCTCCAGCAGCAGCAGCAGCAGCAGCAGCAGCAGCAAGCCATGCACTCGGCCCAGTATGCCCGGCGTGCTGATGGCCAATTACCCGCCGCTGCTTTGGCCATTGTTGATGATAGCCAGAGGCATCTGTTGCTTCAGAGTATAATACGTGACCAGGCGCCAGCATCGGCCGGGCTTTCCGGTCGGTCGTCCATGCCGTCCTCTGTGCTCGGGTCACCGACCGGTGGGCTGGATCCCGGGTCGAGGATGCATACATTTTTCCCCGGTGGTAATAACGCCGGCATTGCCATGCACTCGGCTCCAAATGGTCCGCAGCACGGCGGTAACGGGGCTGGCAACAGTCAGCACCACTCGCAATAACGCGGCCGTTCCCCTGCTGGCCGCTCCTTTCGCATGCTGCCATGCCTTTCCTCCTCCTCGCTCCTTTGGCTCTGCCTTTGGCCCTCTCCCCCCCCTCTCTCTCTCTCCGGTGCTTGTGCCCCTCCCCTACTTTCATCTTCCTCTCTCTCCCTATCCCTCTCCCTTCCTGCCCGCGCACCCCCCCCCCTCGCTATCTTGTGCATCTAGACCGTCAATGCCTCTCCCCCCTCTCTCCTCCTGTTTCTCTTCTTTGTCTCCCTTTCTCTTCCTCTATCTCTCCCCCACCCCCCTCCCCTCCCCCCTCCCGCAAAGGGGGGGGGGAGGCAACCATCTGCCCTTCTTGATTCATCGGAAAGCCGCACCAAGCCCTCGGTGGGCAGGGTGGGCCCGTTGGCCTGTACTTACATACATGCGTGAAAGTGCGTCAATTATGGTCGTCTCTGGGAGCCCAAGCGAAATAGATGCCCCTTTCCAACTTTCATTTCTCCCCGGCCTCGACCTGAATCCACGGTGACCAACCTATGGCGGGAGGAGGGGTGTTTCTTGTTCTTTCGCCTTTTTTTTTCTTCTTTTCGTGCTTTTGTGCCCGGTCGCTCTGAGCCATGTGCCGTGCACATGGGTGGATGGGTGGTGGATGTGTGGGCAGAGAAACTTCCCCAAGGCGGCGAACAGTCTCAATCGGCAAAGTCCATGGCATACGTGGGGGCCGAAGCTTGGGTTGCCGAATGGGCGACAAAAGGCTGTGCCAGGAAACTGACAATCACCTCGCGAATGGAGTTGATGAGCTCACGTCGGCGCCGAGCCGCGGGGCTGTTATCGTCCGGGCCGCCACGGTCATTGACCAGGGCACGGAGAATTGCCGAGCGAACGCGGTAGATCGCAAACGAGGTGGATGCATCAAAGTCCGCCGGCTCCAGGAGGAACTCCACCGCCTGAGGCTGGTTGAGCTGTGTATGTGTGTGCGTGTGTGAGTGAGTGAGTGAGTGAGTGTGCGTGTGCGTGTGCGCGTGTGCGCGTGTGCGCGTGTGCGCGTGTGTTTGGAAGAGGCCTAGGAGCATGAGTGGGGCACGGGCGGGGAGCAATGGCAGTAAGGGGGGAGCCCCAGGAGGGCCTCGCGCACCAGACTCTCCACGCCCCAAGGCCAGTCAAGGGCCGCGGCCAGGACATGCAATGCCGCCAAACGAGCCTGGACACCGGTCTCGGCCTCATCACCCAGCGGGGGCCGGGCGTCCGGGCGATCGGAAGAAGCCACCGCCCCGGCCTTCGGGGCGATGGCCGCCACGCGAAGCAGGAACATCACCAAGTCACTGGGAGCCACCGCATCGGCCAGGCATGTCCAAAGGGCACGCCGGGGATCCGAGCTTTGGCTGGCCATCGGGCCGAGGGGCCGGTCGCCAGGCCGGGTGCCCGGGTCCCGGATCAGCATGGCCAGCAGTTCGAACACCTCCTCGCGGCTGATGTTCATCGAGGAAGGCCGGCCGCGCACCGGGGCTGCCATGGCCAAGGCCCCGAGCAAGGAGGCCAGACACTCCTGGAGGGAGGCTTCCCCGGCCGTGGCGGTCAGCAGGGTCTCCGGCGCGTGCCACCCGACCAGCGTCAGCCCCTGCAGGGCTGCGCTGATGACCGGTGCCGGGACCGGATGCCGGGGAGTCCCAGCAGGCAGGGCCCGGCCTTCGGCAAAGGCCACCGCTCCTTGAAGAGCCCTCGTGGCCGCTTGCAACACTTGCAGACCCAGTCGCAGGAAGTCCCCCCAGGTGGGGACCTCCGAGGCCTGGCCGTCAATCTCCATGTCGGACTCCGCATCCAGGGCCCGGGAGGCGAAGTCCTGCCACACAGGCACACTCAGCCCGGCCAGGCTGGCATACAGCTGCCCAATGCACTCCTCCACCATGGGACAGGCATCCAGCTCGCGGATGGTGCCTTCCGGCAAACCGGCCGTCAGGACGGCCAGCTGACCGGGCCCGGGCTGCGGCCCATGCTGACTGCGTGCCAGGCAGAACCCCTGAAGCAGGCGCAGGGCCGACAGCAGGGCCGCGACGTAGCCTCGGCGCAGGAGAAAGGCGCTGGCTCGGCGGTGGCGCTCCGGCCAGGGGAGATACGGCGCGCTGGAGGCAGCCGCCGCACCCTGCCCCGGGGCTTCCTCCTGGTTGGAGCCCGGCAGCAGATCCGCGCACCACCGAAGGACACACAGGTACTCCAGCGGGTCGGCCATGAGCAGGGCCGGCGGAGCCAGGGCCGCGGGGGCGATGGCCTGCGGCGGCGGGCACAGACGGAGCCATGGGCTCGCGGTGCTGGGCTCCCGACCGGAGCTCTCCTCGAAAAGAGGCCCCCCGGCCGGCAGGCGCAAGAGCTCCGCGCAGATGTCATACACGCGGAAGCGCAAGGCATTGTCATCGGTGGTGCCGCAAGTCCTGGGCCGGGGCAGGGGGCCGAGGATGGACGGACGGACGGACGGAGGGGGGGGGGGGGGTGTGTGCGTGGCTGGCGGTCGTGTGCGACGAAGTGCCCCCTTGTGGGGGGAACGGACGACCTCATGTTAAAGGAAGGCATGTGCAGGTGATGCGGCAATGCTGCATGAGCACGACGGGCCAGGGCAGACACACAGCAGGGGGGGGGGGGGGGGGGGGAGGTATTGGGGGAGCCACGCACGCGACGACACGTTGCAGGACCTCAACCAGGGGGTCTAGTTCGGTTGGCAGCGCACAGGAGCCGACCTCGGTCCCGGAACCAGCCGGGAGACCAGCCACACAGGCTAGGTCCACCATGCGCGGCAGGAGCTGGACCAAAGCATGGGGGATGGTCACTGTGGCGGTGATTTGGTCATTGTCAGGAGCCTGGCGCAGGGCGGCCTCGGCCGCACCGAGGAAGGAGCTGTGTGAGAGCTTTTGAGAGTCAGCCGGCCGGTCGTCCAGCAGGCCGCCCGGGAGGGTGTTAGTGCCAATGCGCTGGCCGGCCTACGCGGCCGATCACAGGGGAAGGAGGGGACGGAGGGGAAGGAGGGGGGAGCGGACAGGGGGAGGACACACCATGCGACGTGCGGCCGCCGCGGCCTCGATGGCATCCGGGGCCCGGGGGCCGTCAGTGTGGACCGCGGTGGATTCCTGCGTCACAGCGGACAGCAGTACGCGCAACGTCCGCAGCCGGACTTCCGGGTTGCCGTGCGTCGTCAGCAACGGCAGGAAGAGTTCCTGTGAGGGGGG